ACTCTTTCCTGGGATCCCGGCACTTATCTAGGGTTCTATCAAATTCCCAACATGCCTAGGGTGGAGGTGAGGAGAAAGGGGCTTCTACTCCAGCTTCCATTTGGCTGTATCTTTGACTCTCTGCTTCTCTCCTTTCACCTGGGGGTTACAGTTCTGCTTGCTTGAATATTCTGCTCAAATGTTTCCTATCTTAGGAAATCCTTCCTCTCTGTGTATCAATCAGGATTTGGTCAGGAAAAAAATGGTCATTTTAGGTATTTCAGATATAAAGAGTTTAACTTAGGAATTAAGGGCTGGTACACAGAACAGGCTACATAATTTGTGGGCCCTAATGCAAAATAAAAATTCACGGTCTTTTGTTAGAAAATCATTAAGAATTTCAAGATGGTGCTGGAAGAATATAAAACCAGACAGGGAATCTATTATGGGTTGAATTGTGTCCCGCCTCATATTCCTATGTTGAAGTTCTAACTCTTTTGTTGAATTCCCTCAGATGTGACTTTATTTGGAAATGGGGTTGTTGCAGATGTTAAGATAAGGTCCTACTGGAGTAGCTTGGGCCCCTAATATGATATGACTTGTTTCCTTATAAAAAGGGGAAATTTGGACACATACACACACCTCCGAAGAACACTATGTGCAGATGAAGACAGAAACTGGGGGGATACTTCTTTAGGTCAAGGAATGCCAAAGACAGAGGCATGGAACAGCTCCTTCTTCACAGCCCTCTGAGGGAACCAATCCTGATGACACCTTCATCTCAGACTTGTAGCCTCGAAACTATGAGGCAACAAATTTCTGTGGTTTAAGCCACTCCGTTTCTGGTAATCTGCTACAGAACTCTAGTAAACTGATACAGGGCCTTTCTAGGTACAGGGCTCTGGGGTCCTGCAGAGGTCACGTGCCATGAAGCCCATGAAGCTGGCCCTGTTTGTACACGGTAGGTAGAGATGAGGGCGAGGAAGTCAAAGAAATTGCCAGGAAAGATCTCGGTCCAACACACCAAAAGGGGAGGTTTTTAAAAGCTCCTATGAAGGTGCTGCAATTCTGAAGGATCTCTGGGAAGTTTCCAACTTTCCCATTCTACAGTGATGGAGTGAATGATTCTCCAGACTCCCTAGAAAGTTGCTTTGAATCACATCCGCCCACGTGTGGGGCTGATCTGAGCAATCTCGAGAGAATCATGGCTTCTCTTCCACCTTCCAGTTCTAGAAGTGACTCATTGGCAAACTCAAACCATCAACCATTTGGGGAAGGAGATTTAGGAAAATGTATTTCCTGGTGTCTCTGTGATGCAGAGGAGGTCTTCTTAGTAAGAGGCGATAGCAATGCTACACTGACAGTAGATAACCCAGCATATGTGCACGGACACGTTGTGCACTTAAAGCTAATATTTTGATATCACTCTCCTTGGATTCTAACATGACAGCCTTCCCCATCAGGCAATGGTGACTTTTGACCAGATATCTAGGTTAGGATGGGGTTTGGGAGGAGGGCAGGAACACTCCTGGCCCTTCTCTTACACCTTAGGGATATAAAGTGGAGATATTCATTGAAGCAAACTCTTCTCACGTCAGTTCATATGATCTTTCCACATAAGGAAAAAGAATGAGGAAAAGAAGTATGATGTAGCAAGTAAGAAAGGAGAGAAAAGAGAAAATGGAAAGGTAAGAGAGAATCAAGCCATGACCCTTTGACGAGGTAAGAGGAGAATCCAGAGAGTGCATTGTCAAGAGAACCAAGATGAGATGGAGTGGCTTTTGGCTTTAAATTGATTATGTCTTATAGAAGATGAAAAAGAACACTCTTCGATTATTTGTCAGGAATATTTCTTCTCTGCCAAAGCCAGTGGGTAAACTTAGGAATCTCTCATCTTTTCATCCTTTTACTGAATACTTTAGGGAAATGCATGTAATTCCAATCCTTCTTCGAAATTTATATTTTTAAAAATACTTGGTTGTAAGAACATTTCTGAACTTCTTTTGACAGTTGAGTAGTTCAGAGTAAATCTGCCCCTGTCAGTCACAAACTAGTGACCTGACAGCTCAGGTGACTTATGTTCATGTGGAGATGCCGCTGTGGTTATTAGCACAGTCTTAGTTATGGTGAATCACCAGAGCTATGAAATCAGGAATTTTTTCCCCTGTCCTGTACATTTTTCTTTTGATGTAGAGTTCCTCTTATCCTGTGTTTTTTTTTTCTTACCCTTTCTGTTTTCTTTTTTTTCATAAAGAACTATTAACCAATTCCAACAGATTGGTTTCATTCCTGAGTGAATTTTTGTAAAAGAATTTTACAATTAAGAATTTCCTATTTCTTAGAGAATCCGCCACAGAAGTGCTACTTGCTGTAACTGCATTCACTTTCTGTTGCTACATGGACGTAATGACACGGTGCTATACTTAATAACACTAGTCACAAAATCAATATTTCCAGATAGAATGGCCCAAACCATTCAGGTGCTCTTTTGAAGGTCGATTAATTGCATATATTTAAGGGCTGTAAGTACGTGGCAGTAAACATCCAAATGTAAATCATAGTATCCAGATGTTTTATCTCTGAAGCCAAGCATCTGGAAATACAAAAACATCTGGATGGCGGACTGTACTTAGCACTTTTCATCCAACTATTTTGGCATCACACACACTCAGACCAAATCCCTTTTGTCTATATCACTAGCAGTGATAAGCTGCAATAAGAATCATGTTGCTAAGTACTATTAAGAGTAGTACAAATAAATCACCCCAAAGTAAATAGTTGTTTGACCTGAAATTATCTCTAAGCTATTGAAACACATTCTTATATGTTCATCAGGGTCATCTTAAAGACAAAATGTTTGAACTACAACCTATAAGTGGAGCTGCAGTCTTTAAAATAATGGTTTATAAGGTATTTCTTAAGCATTAGGAAGTAATCTGGGTGTATATCAGATGACTATATAGATTTTGTTCGAATTATGAAAAAAATTCAGAAGTGTTAACAAGCTTTAAACCATTGATTTGGCTTTATATGTTAACACTTTCCAGCAAATATGTATGAATAAAATACCAAAGGACGTAATCCAATGGCGTATAGGCAAAGGCACTCTGAAAAAGTGGATTGATAAAAAACTGAACTAGAAGACAGGCATTGCAGAAACACTGTCATTTACTAGCTCTGAGGCACAGGCAAGTCAGCGGACCTTAAATGTGTTGGGATGAGATAGAAGAATGCATGTGAAATCACCATGACCTGTCCCGCAGACAGTGGGTGTTTAATAAGTGCCAATCGCCCTCCACTCAGAGAGCACTATGGGAATCCACGTCGACCTGGGTGACCAAAGTTCACTCTGCTTAAGGTCATAGTTGGTCAGTGTCATTTTAGAGGAGGTAATTTGTAACTTACGGTTACTGAGTACTAACACATTATAGTTTTAGTTGCTATGTATGTTGAAAAATATTTATAGGAAAAAAATTTAAAGAGTTTATCATTTTTGTCTTCCATACATTCTTGAAAATTGGAAGAGGTATCTATTATTGCATTATTTGACATGGCAGAAATGAATATGTTAAAGCATTGCTGAAAAGACGTTTCAGAGAGAGAACCAGAATGAGAACCCAGGTCTTCAGAGCTTCTTCCCTGGACCCAACTGGTGCCAAATAAACAGATATGGAAAATCTCATTCACAGACTGGATAAGAAAGAGCCAGGCTTCAAACAGCAGGCCATTTACCTAGCAACAAATACTAATCCACAACTTTCCATTCTTACCGATATCAAATTTAATTTTAAGTTTTTTTCTTCTCAAAAAAGCACTCAGATTTAATACGCTGGCATCCCTTTTAATGTGGGTATTGGTAGAATCCAGTCACAGCTGTAAACAGCAGGTGGCATTTTCTATCAGGAAAGGGGCACAAAATCAAACCACTAGCAACTTCTGAGCTATGCAAAAATCCCTCAGTCTCATTTTAATACATAATTTATTATTCCGGGTTATAAGCACAGAAATAAAGATGGATAAACATAGACATTCCCCCCTTTTGTGTCTTTTAAAACCTATATGTAAATTTGATCATTGTATATCAAATATTACTTTGGCAGATTCGGTAGGGTAGTTTCTTACCTCAGTGTGACTAATTTTTCAAATCTTGAGCTTATTTTGCTTAGTAAATAATCTTCATCTACTATTTTTGGAGGGAGAAATATAGATTTTTTAAAATATAACATTACTTTAAAATGAAATAGCTTCTAATAATAGCACAAAATCAGTTTAAATCACAAACTTATTTTCTATTTGCAAGTAGTATTTTACAACACCACAGAAAATTTAAATTTTAAAATATCTATGCAAAAGGAACACTTAAGGAAATAATTGCACATCATATTTGTACAATAAATGTTTGTGGAAAGAACAAGTATAGCTTTTTTTCTCTAGCAAATGCTTACTATGTACCAAGTACTGTTATAAGCACTTTAGAATACATCACATTTATAATAATAATCCTATGAGGTTGTTACAACAATTTTTCCAATTTTCAGGTGAGGAAACTTAGCTTTGCAAAGGTTAAGGAAGTTGCTCAAGGTCAAACAGCCAGCATGTGGCTGTGCCAAGGTCCCAAGATCCATTTGGCTTTGAAATCTGACCTTCTACTCACTGTACTATATGATGCCTAACTAAACTAAGTGTTTAAAAATAATTTAAAAACATGGATCAGTCCCTTTTAGGCTTCCAACAAAAGTACAGTTAACAGTGACTTTGTTCTAAAAATGTCTTGTTTCCATAGACTGAAAAGTCACAAGCTGTTGTATACAATAGTCCTTTGTACATAACAGCTGCTCTGCTTTTTGAAACTCCCCACAAGCATGCCAAAAAGTTAATATCAATTACAATGAAGGAGGAAAATTATTTTGAGTAACATAACATTTGACAAGAGCTTTGGTAAATAAAGCATTGCGAAAGACCTAGAATATTAACACTTCGCTAAAACTTTTCTTTTTTTCCTGTGCTGACTTTTTTACAAGGTGTCAACTGTGAAATGGAAATTGATGAATGTTGGTCCCAGCCCTGCCTAAATGGTGCAACTTGTCAGGATGCTCTGAGGGCTTATTTCTGTGCCTGCACCCCTGGATTTCTTGGTGATCACTGTGAACTCAACGTTGACGAGTGTGCCAGTCAGCCGTGTCTCCATGGAGGGCTATGTGTGGATGGAAGCAACAGGTAAGTTTTCTCCTCCATGCGATGATTGGCTCAGAGAGAACTCATTGACCAAGGACTATTTGGAGAATTTGGAGATCTCACACCCTTAGCTTAAAATTTTTAGATGACTTTATACTTTAAATGATGAAAGGTTGTAACCTTCAGATCTTACTAAAAAATGCATCCTTCAGAGGTCATCTGTCCCAATGGTGAGGATCTTCCAATTCACGTTTGTAAAAGTTTAGAACTGCTTATATTACAGAAAAATGGTGGCTTATCAATTCCATGAAATAAACATGTTGAAGATAGCAAAGGGGTGAAAACAAAGCTAGAGATTCTTCTATATGTGAATATAAGGTTGTATCTATGTGATAAGAAGCATAAAAATAGTGGTGAAAAATCGATCCTTTAGGAATTTTATATAAACACTGCTGGAAAGGGAAGTGATCTTAAATTAATTTTATCTTGAATTTCCAGGTGTTTGGGGGAATTCAATGAATACTTTTGAGAAAGCAAAATGGTGAGACGTAGCCATGTGATTCTGCTCCAAATCAGATTCAATCATTGGCTTTTCGGTCAAAAATAACAATAAATTACACATTAATATGATGGAGATAAATTTGGATAATGGTAATTGAAATTCATATCAAATATTTTGAAAAGAACTTTCTAGTACTTATTTAAACCACATGTAGTGAGTTATCAGATGCATAACAGTTTTTAATAGCATCATCACTTAGCGTCTTGTTGGATCCTTCAACAGCTCAGTGGAAGGCAAGATGGGCATTACTGTTCCCATATTACAATAAGGAAGCTAAAAGTCAGGGAAGCTGGGTGACTCCCACAAATTCACACAGTTAATTCTTTGCAAAAGGAGAACTAGAATCCAACTTTCCTTTATTTAATAAATAAGACATAATTTATCCCGAATCTAAATTTCAAAGTTAATCAGACTCGAAGGAGAGCAATAAAAGCCTTGTGTGCTTCAAACATATCCAGCAAAATAGAATGATTTTAAGTAGAACAATGTGGTTGTATATTTTCTTTGTAAACTATAAAGCGAAACTTTTAATCACATTCCACATCTTGCCTCTGACTTTCTGTTACATGCAAATCAGTCTCCAGTAGCATGAATCTACATTCTTGGAGGCAGGTAACTGGCCAACACATAGGTAGACAAAAATGGAAGTTCCCACATAAGAACTCCAGTGGAAAAGAAGGAGACTCTCCCATCCATGCTTTACTGTCTCCAGAAAGCAACAAGATAGGAATTACACAAAGCTTTTGATTCCTACGGTAATGCAAACAGAAGGGGGCTGAAACCCTGCCACCTTTCATCTCCTCACTTGAGTGTGCCATGAGTAATTTTTCTATGTTACCCTTGTTTCTCTTATTACCTAAATTTTGAGAAAGTAATCACAAGGTGACCAGATATGACTTGACTTTATTTTCCCACAACAAAAAATTAACACATTGGCTATGAGGTATATGGGAAAGTCAGAAACTATACGTGAAACAAGGTTCTTGCAGATCAAAGGAATTATGTGGATGAAGTCTCTAATTCCAAGAACTGAGGTCCACTGGCCAGCCTTCAGTACAAGGCTCTTGTCTCTAATGTCTGACATAGAGTAGATTTTTAGTAAGCACTTTTAATTAAACAAATGGAATAGTGAACAGAGGATTTCTAACTAGCAATATGTATAACAATTATAGTCACTTATTATATTTGCTAATATTTCAGTTTTCTTGGTGAAGCCTTAATGTCTGTGTTCAGTGGTAAATATCCATGGTGGACAGGTCTCTAACTGCTTTGTAAATTCATAGGTGTCCTTTCCCCCAGACCCCCACTTTATCTAAGCCAAGTGGGCAAGTTCACATTTTTACAATACTAAGTCCTTGAAGAGCTCTCATCTAAATTAAAAGCCTCCTCTTGATAAAGTCAATAAATTCCCCCATGAGATTTGTATTTGGGGTCTGTCAGATGATCCCACTCATTGAATGAATAATTATAAACAGCAAGACTAAAATATCCTTGTAATCTAAAAACAAGAGAACATAAGTCATAATTCATTTAATGAAGGTTTTTCCTGGTTTGTTCCATAATTTATTGTTTCGTTTTTCATAAAGGACCTTATTAATGGGCTCTCTATATAAAAGAGTGCCACAATGGTATAAATCATTCTCTACTGCCTTCACAAATATTAACAACTTTAAGTACTATTTAGCAGCAATTTATTCAGTACTTTCTGATGCTTGAGATACTATATCTATTCTTTGTATGTATGCGGAATTATCACAATAACCCTGTGATACAGGTAATATTCGATTTGTGGATGAGGGAACTGAAGTAAACAATTTGTTTTCCAAATAATTTTTCATAAAGCTGTACTATAAATAAAAATGATAAGATATTAACATGGAAACACATAATGAATTAAGGTCTATCGAGATAACTCCCCAGAGTTTTTGAGATAGGTATTAAGACCATGCCGTGGGTTTCAGGTTGATGGACAGGTGAAGAGACAGGATAAAGATATTTGATCTCAACATAACCAAGACTTGATGTGAAAATTTCATTTTACTCTCCAGATATAGCTGTAACTGCAAGGGTAGTGGATTCACAGGGACACATTGTGAGACCTTGATGCCTCTATGTTGGTCACAACCCTGTCACAATAATGCTACATGTGAGGACAGTGCTGACAATTACACTTGTCACTGCTGGCCTGGTAAGTGACAAAATATCTTCCATCTTTTTTTTGTTTTTGGCTTAGAATAGAAACAAATCACTTTTAGCAAATAGAAACTAAAAATTCTTGTCGTTAAAGGTTTAAAACTAACTCTTTCTTTTAGTTATCATTGTTTAACTTAGTTTTATTCTTCAGTACTCACACATACCTATTGCTACAGTACACATTGTCCAAAGTAGGTTATCAAGCTGCCCAAGGATAAGAACCTTCTAGAAGAAACAGAGAGGCAAAACCAATGGAAGGATCGATTTCAGCATGGTCTTCATGGAGAAAAATTCACTGGAAGATGCTTTCTTTTCCTCCAAGATGTTCTTTTTGACATCTAAAATATATTGAAACCCATGAAACAATGTTAAAATTCTAGGAGCTTGTGTTATAATTCATGGAGTCAGTCAACATGATTTTGATGGTCCCCATCGAGGGTGTAGAATGATTTTCCAGAAATAGGAGTGTTTGCCTAAGCATTTATAATGTAAATGAGAATACAGGTTGAACACACATAAACCATAACTAAAAATTACTCATAAAGAGTAATTAGACTTGAGTGTAGAGGTGATAGCAGAATCAGGAGAAAATAGTATGTAACACTTGAGTCAACAGGCCATGTGTAAAAATTAATATTAATTTTGGCAAACCACCTGCTTGACATTTTTTTGACCTCATTCTCACTAGGATTTCACTGGTAGAAGTGGAAGATTTTTATGTGCTATGATGTTTTATTTTATAAAACTTTTGTGGAGTTGGGGGTAAGGAGGAGACAGTGGGTAGCCTGATCTCCTGGCATCACTCATCTTCAAAATTCTGACTGAGGAGGAAGTTGGCAGCCAAGTTCTTGTTTTTTTTTTTTCACAAGCAAAGTAAGTCTGGATCACCAGGCTCTCTGGGAAGCCTGGGGCCTTCAGCCTCTCTAGAGCATCTTTCTCCTGCAGCATCACCTGAATGTAGTTCGTCTTAGGGGCCTCCTCACCTGTGGTGCCCACCCCGCCTCCACGACCTAGGTGTTTGCCAGATTTCCACCGGGCTTGTACAACATCTAGAAGAACTGCTCCTGGTGCCAGCTAATTTGTTGCAAAATAAAATTAAACCACTGGAAAAAAAATCATAAACTTATGATTATTCAAGATCTAGTTGTTATAAGCCTACTGATCATCCATCTCCTTTTCCCCATTCATTTAATTGTCTAAGGAAAGGATAATCCTGTGGTTGGGGAGGAGACTGGAGTCAATCCAACTGGTAGTAGCCTCTGATTGAAAGATATCCCATTGCCTAAGGGACATTTAACATGCTTTGGTTAAATATATTTTGTAGGTAAACAAAGAAACATGAAATTATAAAAGAAAGTTTGGATTCTTCTGTGGCTCAGAAATCTATGTATGTCATGTGTCTTCCCACTTCTAGATAATAAATAGGGCATATTTGCTATCCTTTGGTTATTGGCTTAACTTAAATACTGAAATTTTTCCCAAACATGTTATTCTACATTCTTGACATCAACAACCACTCAACGTTCAATCAACACTCTGGACAGGACCTCTGTTCAGAGGTAGGGAGTGGAGTCAACCATTTTGTGAGTAGGACAGGTCCGCCATTTATTAACTGAGTGAAGTAGGGTGAGTTACCTCATAATTGTTAAGTTCCTTATCTGAAAACACAGGATAAAAATACTTTAGTTGTATTCTTGTGAAGAATAGAATTATAAAAATAGAGCCTGGCACATATTAAGCACTCCAAAAAACACAACAATTAGTACCCACCCCTTTGTACACCAGGAGGAGGCAGTCACATATGGGAGATAGTTTCTCTTCTCTGGGGGGTTTGTAATGGCGTCAGGCAGTTAAGACCTGCCTGAAAAAAACAAACTAGTGTGTACTCCATTCACTCACGGATTCAATCATTAAACCACATGGATTTCAGTATCAGGGAGGGGCCTGGGAATCGAAAAGACATAGTCCCTTCTTCCAAGGACCTTACATTCTAATAGGGATATAGCGTGAACAAATGTATATCGTGCAATTTTTGATGCAATACAAAGAGATTATAAATTCTGTAAAAGGGAATAAGGGGAGAAGAAGCACAGGGATAGCTTGGCTGAGGAGGCACCATTTTAGAAAACTTGAAAGTAAGCATATCCCGGAAATGTACTCGCTAGCCTTGTGACTTTGGACAAGTTACTTTCCTGCTCTGAGCTCCAGTTTCCCCATCTATAAAGCAAAGAAGGTGATAATAATACCCACCTCATAGAGTTGTTTGGGAGACAAATCCAGTAATGTATACAAAGCTCTGAGCTCAGCCTGGACCATAGTAAGCACTCGATAAATGTTTACCAGATACCGAAATTAGGAGGTTGGCCATTCTAGGCCCTAGGCCTTCTTTAAAGAAGGAAGAGAGAGGGAAAGGAAGGAAAGAAGGAAGAAAGGGCAGCAGGCACACGTGGAAAAGAGGGTGTCTAATTGTGGAAGTGGATTGTTCAAAAATGCCAGGCCAGGTAGAGCTGGTGTAAAGAGACAGGCTGGGGAGCAAGACAAAAGGGAAGCCAGACCACAACGCTGTTATCTGCCCTGCAAACTGTGGGGCAGGGAAGCAACATAATCTGACCTGTTAATTCAGAAAGAGCTCTCTGGCACTGTCGTGGAAGATGATGGAAGGGATTAAAACCAAAGGCAGGGAATCCAGTGAAGGAGTTCTGCAGTAGTTTAAGCAAGAGATAAGCCTGTTTGGCACAACTGAGACTACAGGGGTGAGAGTGGAGATGAGGAAATGGACAGGCATGAGAGTCATTTAGGAGGCGGAAATGATGTGGGGACTAAGAAAGGGCACAGATTTAGGACAGTCCTGAGTTTCTTTCTTGGGTCACTGGATGGATGGAGATTTTGCCTAGATAGAAAATTCAGAATATCTTTACACCCTATTCTCACTGTTGTATATAAATAGAATGTTTAATGCTACAAACTATTCTAGATCTAAGAAAAGGAGACCATTCCTTTGGATCGTGAGACCACTGCCACTGAAGCAACGGCAAGAATCCACTGCTATAAGTGCCCAGGGTCCTCATTTCAAAAAGAATTAATTAAAGAACTGTCAGTCACTTTAAATGCTTATCTTAAAAGTTTTCCCGTTACCCAGATAAGATTAGATTTGTTTAAAAAATAAAACGAAACATAATATAAGAACCCTGGAGACTTCATTCAGTATCATATTGTTTCTTTGTACAGAGTTTTACAGAAAAACTTGTTAAAACTATTGAATACAGCCTTGACTGAAGGAGTCTATTTATATACATGGTTAAAGGGAACAGCAAACAAAGTCCTCACAGGGCCCCAGGGATGGGGACAGGACTGGCACGACTATAAATCAGAACCATGCTAATGCTCATGATAGGAATAAGATAACACATGAGCTGGAAAACAAACGAGGATTTATGGAGGTTCTAAATTACTTCCTAACCTGGCTTATGCACGAGTCTTGAGACTTAGAATGAGAAGAAAATTGGAAGTAGTCCAAGCTTTCTTCAGCAAGGTCCTCTGTAGAACAATGAAAACCAGTTTATAAAAACTTGCTGTGAAAACCATTGTCTAAGTGAATATTTGTAGATCCTTAAGCATGAAATAAAAGTATTTAAGAGCAAACATTCAAGTTTAAGAGACTGAGGGTTCCTGGGGGAAGGGGCACTGCGCAGAGTTGTGGGATCTTGATAGACATGTGCTTTTAGTTTCCTTTTTCAACTGTAAGTTTCTTCTTCAGATGGCTGAGAAAGACCCAAGGGTCATATGTAACAAGTGTGTTATACTTTTGAGAGACAGAATTTACGTTGTGGTTATGATTTGACGTAAGACCCCGTTCAGGTTTTTATTAAAATGACAAAATGAGCAATCACATTATAGTCTCATTATTTGCTTGTTACTAGTCAATTGTCTAGTTTATTTGCTAAACTAGGATTATAATCTAAATTGTTGATTAGTACTATTTGAATCTCGTTCAGTCATTGATTGAAGGTCCTCACCTTACGTATTGCTCAGTACTGGCGGGGTGAATAAAAGACCACAGCCCCTGCTTTTGTGGAGTTCATAGTCTGTTGAGGGAGACAACTATACACAAAAATAAATACATAATAAAAGTGATTATAAGAGCAATGAAAGAAAAGAATTGGGTAATATGAGAGGAGACAATGCAATCTTATTTAGATCTGTCCACAAGGGAATGTCATTCTGAGAAAGAAATACACCATAAATCCTGAAAACTAAGAGTCAGCCAACCGAAGTGTCAGAGGAGAGTCTTCTAGGGGAGGGAACGGTGTTACAAAGGCCCTGGGGTAGAAGCCATTCGAGGCATAGGAATGTCGAGATGGGAGTGTGGCCATGTAAGAAAGATCATTTCAGGTTAAGGTTTTGAATTCTGTGTGAAAGGGGGAGCCCTTGAGTGCTTTTAAAGCAGAGAACTACCATGATTTGCTTTGTAAGTTTTATAATTTTGGATTGCAAATTTTAGTTCAAAAACATATTTCTGAGTAGCGTTAAGTGACGTTACAAAGACCCTTAGTTGTGAGGTCGCTTGTATTATAAATCAAATTGTGTTTCTTTAAGAACTTCTTGCAGCTTTCTCACCATCTTGCAAAACAGCTGATGTTGTCCCGGTCCCACTCATCAGCTTTGTCTTGCATCTTACTAAATTTACATCTTTGGACTAGCACCGTACATAGTATACAAATACTCCTATAAATGAATAAGGAAAACAGTCTAATGAAAAAACAGGAAAAACATATGAAATGATAAAAAGAAATCCAAAAGATGTTAAATTCAATAGTAACTGGGGAAAACGTAAACCAAAACAACGAGGTATTATTTTTTATCTAACCAACTGGTGAAAAATTTTATTTGGTGATAGCAAATGTTGGCAAGGGTTTAGAGCCATGTGTACACTGGTCCAGTGCTGGTAATTATGTAAATGGTATAACTGCTCTGAGGTGTTTACAGTATCTATTAAAATAAACAATGTACATAACCTATAACCCAGAAATTCCTCTTCGAGGCATGGAGCCCAGTGTTATTCTCAGACATGTACGTAAGCATGCATATATAATGATATTCACTGCCACATTTTTTGTAATAACGAAAATGTGTATAAACCCACTAAGGGAATGATTAAACTATGGTACATCCACATGAGGTAATACTTGGCAATAGTTAGAAATTATGAGTTACATCTACGTTACTAACATGGATAGATTGTGCAAGGGAGTGAAAAAAGCTACTTGAGAAGAATGCATACAGTACAATTCCAGTTACGTTAACACACACACGATAAAACTATATGTATACATTAACAGGTGCATATGTATGTAAAACCAAAGAAACAGTTCTGGTAGGGACTTTCTTTTATATTTAATACATCAAATGTTTATAAAGTACTAAATCATTCATGTTTTATTGCTTTTATTCCTGTCCCTAATAAAATGACCCAGCTAAATCCATTCAAATACAAAATAATTTTTCATTCTGCCCACTGAGTTTTAGGAAGGAACCATTTACATTTACGTTGAGTTTTAAGAGAATTTAGGGTTGGCTGTGTGGATACTGCTGACTTTGCAGCTATTTTCCTGAAAAATATTTTATTTTTTCTTGCTAAAATTCCAACCATTGGAATATTTGAGGGATTGGAGTGTTTAGTTAAAAGGTTCATTTTAAATCAAGGTTATCCTGAAGTCCCATTTTATTTGAAGCCTTATTAATCAAATCTTTGTAAAAAATACTGGCCGGTATTATACAAGTGTTCCCATTGCTACTGCTTATTGTCTTGGAAGCCTCCTCTTAGCAGATTCCCTTTGCTAGTTCCTTGCACATCATTGGTAATTGGCGCCAGCACAGTGGTCAGCCTCCTTTTCAGGCATATGCTCTGTGGTTGAGAGCTTTAGCTCAGCAGCTTCTCTGAACTTCCATCCTGCAGGATACACAGGTGCCCAGTGTGAGACCGACATCAATGAATGCAGCAGTAATCCCTGCCAGTCTGATGGGGAATGTGTGGAGCGGTCCTCAGAGCAACAGTATGGACGCCTTGCTCAGCTGCCTTCCTCATTCAGCTACCCTGAAGCTTCAGGTTATGTCTGTATCTGTCAGCCTGGATTCACAGGTGAGACCAAGGAGAGGGGAGATGACTGGACTTCCTAGCCTTTTATGGCCCATCATGCATTTAACCAAATGGTGTATTAGCAGTAAGATCTGTGCTGTATAAACTTTGATGCTATGGTGCAAAGGGTCCCCCTTGTGGACAGGAAAAATATCTTGTTTCACGTATCATATAATTCCTCAGATCAAGAGGAAAATGTTAAAAAAGAAGGATAGGAGAGGTGTATGAAAGGGAAAGTATTTTTATACATTATACTAGGAATTGGAGCGCGACACAAATTTTTTACCTTATAAACAGAAAATGTTGGAATTCTTATATTCTTAAATTTTATAATGATGCTAAATTTTTGTTATTCAGATTTGTTTTAAAAAGTTAATGAACTTTTTATATTTACACTGAGAACAATTATCTGATCTTAAGTAATCTTCCTCAACTATTCTATAGCTAATTGTCTCATATATCACATTTAAATGACTCCAGCTTTTTCTACAGCATTCTTACTCTAAAACCCAGAGGAAACGTGCATGGATGTTTTCCAATGAATGGTTGTGTTTGTGTCTGCTTCCAGGTTCTGAAAACTCACAAATTAAAACACAGTTCCTATTTTGGTAATGAGTAGCAATTTACCTACAATTGCATAGAAATCACTGAGAACACTAATTACAATCTAGATTTCTATCTTATTTCTTTCTCCTAGATTAAGTGATAACTGAGGAACATATTTCAGTTAATATTGAGGATTTCTGAGGAAAGTAAATGAGGAAAAAGGGTCTATTTACACTTAGGATTCCCTTTCTATCAATGTTTCAATTTTGAAGTTTAACGATCTTTGATTCGTGGCAGTGTTCGCTCTAAGGTTGTTCTAGATGATGTTATTTCCTTATTCACTGTCCCTTCTATGAGAGCACATAGGAGAAAAGCCTTTCCAATGTCAGTCACGATAAGTAGTATTTTTCCAAACAGCTTCTGGCTTGCGTGTTTTTTCCCTTAATAAAAGGCATGCAAATAAATCTTGATAAATAACAAAAAGTGTGAAATAAATCTTGGAATATACCATATTTCGCAATCATCTAGGCTGCTAGCAATCTTATAGGTAAACTTGAGTTCTACAAGTATATAGCTTCTTATGGATGTATTTATGTTTTTACCTCACCCCTGGGATTATTTAAATTTCCTGTTTCTGTTTCTTATGGTTGCCTTTTTTCTTTCCAAATTTTTTGGTCTTGGTATAGTGTATGTATTTTTGTCAGCTACTTTAAATCCTTCTTGGAACAAGGTAGGGGGGTTATAAATTTTTTTTTTAATATTGGGTTTAGGGTCATAAAGAGAAGACTCTCTATAAGTCAGAGGCCATTGTTAATATTGCCTCATTGGATAAAAGGATATGGTTAACCAATGAATCTGCAGATCCAAACAGGAGAGGCAGTGGAATGTTCCAGAAGAGTGTGTTGGACTTGATTTCTGAAGAGCTGCCAAGAATGATTGTGAGTTAAGAAGGCTTGGATGCCCCAAATCTCCATGGTGTAATGAAATAGTTTATTTTTTGCTCATGTGAGGTCCAAAAATGGGTTCTCATGATCAATTGTCCTCCAAATAGTGACTCAGGGCCACAGGCTTCTCACTTTCTTGTAGTTTTTTATTTTTTCCATCTTCAAAATGTGGCTTTCAAGTTTACCATGCTCTTCTGCATGAAAATGGAGCATGGCATCTAGAAGATTTTTATGGGGCAAGCCCGAAAAGTGATGAATATCTCTTCTACCCACATCCCGTTGGTCATACAACCACATTTAACTGCAGCAAAGACAGAGAAATCTAGTCTTGTTGTGTACCTAAAATAAGAGAACAGGCTTCGTGAACAGCTATCCAATTTGTCACAACAGCTGGAACTAGCAGACTGGGGACACAAATCTAGATCCTCCGATTCTAAGTTTATCATCCTACCTGCTGTGTCACGTGTTTTTATGTGTGAATATATTTTTCTTTATTTCTTTTACTTCTTTAATTAAATTTTTTTAAGATAATGGTAGATTCACAAGCAGTTATGTGAAACAATACAGGGAGGTCTATGTATACTTACCTAGTTACCCCAATGGTAACATGTTGCAAAACTACGTACAGCATCTCTCCAGGATACTGACATTGATAGAGTCTACATGCAGAACAGTTCCACCATCACAAGGATCTGACCTCTCTCCTTCTCTACCGTCTGGTCCCTAATCCCTAACAAGCACTAATCTGTTCTTCTTTTCTGTAATTTTGTCGTTTACAGAGTATTACATAAGTAGAATCACACAGGCTGTAAACTTTCCGATAGATTTTTTTCACTCAGCATAATTCTTTGAAGATTCCTTTAGGTTGTGTGTAACAATATCTCATTCTTTTTTATTGCTAAGTAGTATTCCATGGTATGTATGTATCACAGGTTGTTTAACCATTCACTTGTTGAAGGACATCTGGATTGTTTCCAGTGTTATGGATAACGTTTCTATGAACATTTTTGTACAGGCTTTTGTGTGAATATAAGTATTCGTTTCTCTGGGATAAATGCCAACGAGTGTAATAGGTGGATCATATGGTAGTTGCATGTTCGGTTTTCTAAGAGACTGCAAACTGTTTTCCAGGCTGTCTGGAAAATATTCCCGCTAGCAATATAGAAGAAATCCAATCTTTTCTTTGCATCATCGCCAGCATTTGGTGTTGTAGCTATTTTTTCATTTTAGCCATTCTATTAGGTATAAAGTGATATCTCATTGTGATTTTAATATGTATTTCCCTAATGGTTAATGATGTTGAACTTCTTTTTGTGTGCTTCTTTGACATCTGTATATCCTCTTCAGTGAAATGTCTTTGCATGTCTTCCGTCCATTTTCTGATTAGTTTTTTTTTTTACTGTTGAGTAATTTTCAGCATATAGCCCATGGACATTTTTTGTTAAGTTTATACCTAAGCAGTTCATTTTATTTGATTGATTGTAAAGGGTATTGTATTTTTAATTTCAGTTTCTACATAGTCATTGTTTGTACAAAAAATGTGATTGATTTTTGTGTGTTAATCTTATGTCCTGAGACCTTGTAGAACCTATCTATTAGATCTAGGAGTTTCCTCTTTGTAGATTCCCTGGGATTTTCTACATAGACAATTATGTCATCTGCAAATAGAGACAGTATTATTTCTTCCTTTCCAATCCATATACCCTTTAATCCTTTTCTTGCCTTGTTGCAGTGACTAGAACTTCTGAGACTATGTTGAATAAGAGTTGTGAGAGTAGATACCTTTGCCTCGTTCACAATCTTGGAGGGAAAGCATTCAGTCTTTCCGCATTAATTATAGTGTTAGCCATAGGTTTCTGTAGATGCTCTTTAGCAAGTTGAGGTCATTTCCCTCTACTCCTAACTTGCTGAGAGTTTTTATCATGAATGGGTATTGGGTTTTGTCAGATGCTTTTTATGCATCAACTATATGATATAATTTTCTTCTTTAGCCTACTGATATACAGCCATGCACCACATAATAACATTTCAGTCAATAGTGGACCACACATATGACGGTTTTCCAATAAGATTAATAACGTATAGCCTAGGTGTGTAGTACCCTATACCATCCAGGTTTGTGTAAGTACACTCTTTGATGTTCACATGAGGATGAAATGGCCTAACGACACATTTTGCAGAACGTATCCCCAGCATAAAGCTGTGCATGACTGTAGTGGATTGCATTGCTTGATTTTCAGATATTGAACCAGCCTTGCATACCTGAAATAAATCCCCCTTGATCACAGTATATAATTTTTTTTTGGTTTGCTAATATTTTGTTGAGAATTTTTGCTTCTAAGTTTGTGAAAAGTGTTGGTCTATAGTTTTTTTTCTTGTACTCTCTTGTCTGGTTATATGATCAGGGTAACATTGCCCTCATAAAATGAGTTAAGAAATATTCCTTCCTTTTCCATTTTCTCAAAGAGGTTATAAAAAATTAGTTTTAATTCTTTAAGTATTTTGGAAGAATTTTCCAGTGGAACCAACTGGGCTTAGAGATTTCATTTTCTGGATCTCTTAAATTATAAATTCAATTTCAGTAATAGGACTATTCAGATTACCTATTTCTCCTTGTTTGAGTTTTGATAGTTCAAGGATTTCAAAGGATTGGTTCTTTTTTTTCCTAAAAATTGTGTGTTCTGTTCATGTTGAGTGGAGTGTTCTATATATGCCAAATGGATTATGTTGGGTGATTGTGTTGACCAGATCTTCTATATCTTTGCTGGTTTTTCTGTCAAATTTATTAGCATAATGTTACTCATAGCCCTGCCTTATTATCCTTTTACTGACTGCAGGATCTGTAGTGATCTTCTCTCTTTCATTCCTGATCTTGACCATTGGTATCTTCTCTCTTTTTATTTTTGTTCATTTTTTACAGGTTTATAATTTCATTAATCTTTTTTGAAGAACCAGCTTTTTATTTCATTGGTTTTCTCTATCGTTTTCTGTTTTCAATTTTGTTGATTTCTGTTCTTTACTGTATCCTTCTTTTTGCTTGCTTTGGGTTTACTTTGCTCTTATTTTTCTAGTGTCTTTCTTTTTTATATAAAGAACAGAAATTTATTTTTCACACTTCTGGAGGGTGGAGGTCAGGGTGCCAGCATGGTTGGGCAAAGGCCGTCTTCCAGGTTGCAGACTTATCATTCCATCCTCCCTTGATGGAGGTGGCCTATTTGCTTGAGGTAGGAACTTTTATTATTGATTTAAAGCCCTTCATTCTTTCTAATAGAAGCACTTGATAGTATAAATATAACTCTCTATACCACTTTAGCTGCATCCTAAATACTCTGGTATGTCATCTTTTCATTTCCATTCAGTTCTATGTACTTTTAAAATTTTCCTTGGAGACGTTCTCTTTGACTCATGGATTATTTAGAAGTGAGAATTATGGTGTTTAATTTCTAAGTGTTTAGAGATTTTTCTCTTGTCTTTCTGTTACTGATTTCTAGTTTGATGACATTATGGTTAGAG